ATTACTATTACTATTACTATTATTATATTATTATTATTACTATTATTGTGTTATTGTGAAATCGATTTATATTGCATTATTCTTAAGTCTAACTCTTTCATTTTAAGCTGATACTCCATGCGTGACTGCTCTATTTCAAACTCCATTTTTTTTGCAATGTTTCAGCTTTAGTTTGTTCAACCTTTAATTCTTCTTTCAAATTCTTGCTACTTACCAAATTGTTCATTTTCAAGAGCAAGCCTTTTTTCCTAAATCACTTGACATGTATTACCCATAGAAATAATAGCTTCAGCCAATGAATCCTGTGAAGATTTTCATTTTTTGGTAGCCTTGTCTTTTATTTCTATCACCGGAGCTTCTTCATTAATTTCTTTCTCTTTACAACTGTCAAACAATTGAGTACAGTCGTCACTAATTATAATAAACCTATTTATACTGAAAACTCATTATCAAACTAAGTAGTGCAGAACCAAATTTTTTATAATTAATTGTACTGGATATACTGAAATTATATAGTAAAATGCTATATACCGCATCCGAACTTATTGTTGGCAAACCAATATATTAGCCACGTATTTGATATACCAAATAATCACGTGACTTAAATTAATATATAAAATTATTATAACGTGAATAATCTTTTTTTATCAGAACACAGAAATTTTGTTTAAAGTACTCTGATATCATGTCAAGAAAGGGATATTCTTTTACCAAGTCTTTCTAATATAATATTGAACTTACACACCAAATATTTATTGAGGCAATAATTTGTATTTTGATATAATTTTGTTAATAAAATATAATAATATACAATGCTGTGAATTTTAAATGATGTGATTTTTTAAGTTTTTTATCAGGTGTAAATAAATTTACACAAAAATATGCAAGATATATTACTAATATGATCACATGTCTTTAATTTTATTGGTAGACTTTATATACCAAACAGTTCAGTATATAGAGTGAGCATCATATAATGAACTCATCCTATACCGAATCAAACCCCACAGAACGGAGGGTTTGTTATATTCAGTGACGACTGTAGTATCAGAAAAATCATCTACCAAAAACCCTGGATTATGATTTTCACGTGTTCCAAATAAGGCATCCAGTCTATCAAACTATTTCTATTTTGCTTGTGCTTCTCTTTCTGTTTGGTTCTCCTTTTCCTTGATTTTATTATACTTAGTTGTAAGGCGAGATAATTTATTCTTTATCTGCTCCCATAACTTTCTTGAGAAATCTTATTAGCAGCTGATTTAGCAAAGTTGGACTTGTTTTTTTTATAAGCAGCGAAATTATCCTCAAGAAAACCTAACAACAATCCTGTACTTTTATCATCCCAACCTGTTTCTTCTTCAGCAAGCCCTGGTTTTCGGTCAGTCTTCTTTTTAAGAGCTCTTGCAGTTGGCAAAGGTGTTACTTCCTGAATTTCAGGTAAGGTCTGTGGTAAAGCAACAGCAATGATATCGGGATTTTGTACAAATAGTTCTTGCGAATATCTTTGTAAAGATTCTCGTGAAAGTTTTTGTGAAAGTCCTTGTGACGCTTGTAGAGCTTGTAAAAGTTCTTGCGAAAGTTCTTGTAGAAGTTCTTGTGGAGATTTTCGTAAAAAGTCTTGTAAAGGATTTTGTGGAATTTCTTGTGAAGGTAGTTTAGAAGCAATTGAACGAAAGGGGACTCTTGAGTTAGACATTGTAAAGGTTATAACTTCAGCAAAAATTTTAGTTAGATGCGAAGACGTGTCTGTTGTAATAAAATCGTCAGAGGTGAACACCAATTTTTATAGATCAGATTGATTGATCACTGATCGTTTTTTTAGCTAATCATTTAGGGGCAAAATTTCCGATCTGAACAATCTGATCTAGAACTAAACAGGGCTATTGAAAGTTATGTATACTAACCAATACTTTTATTTTTTCCTCCAATCAAATGTGAGAAATGTGAAAGGAGGTCTACATACAATACAAGACCAACTCTAAAAGTAAATAGTGCCAAAAAAGCATATATTATGAAAGGCTGAAGACTTTAAAATTTTGAGATCACCAGGTGTAAAACTAACTATATGTCATCTACATGTAAAAAAATATGAGAATTTCATTATATGTGCTTTCATAGAACTCTTAGCCTCATACCTCCTTAACTTCAGCTTGGCGCTCTTTTTTCCAGTAAGATATAAAGCATGTAGAAAAATGTAAAAGTTCAGCCAACTTTCCAGAAAAAACTTTCTTGAAAATAATGCAAAATAAAGTACGTATATGTCCTAAATTATGTAATATATAGGAGCAAGTTTTTTCTCACTATGAGTTTTATATTTAGGAAAGCAAAAAAATGGCCAATATCACTCTCAACTATCTTATTGTCTCAAAAGGGAATTTCATGAATATTTCATTTATTAAAGTAATGCAAGTGATTACAATTCAAGCAATCATATTAGCGATCTAGAAACTGCAATTCAAGACAGACTGGAGACACCATTAAGCAATACACCTCTCAGACTTTGTAAGATTCATTCCAGTAGGGTTGTTCAAATTGAAATGCATCAGCAAAGCTTAATTTTTGCCTTTTTTTCTGAAAAACCTCTAGCAGACCGCTTTAACATTCTAGTTTACTTCCTATCTCAATTGTAATTTTCAGTATCATATAATGCTATAGTTGTAATTTTTATATATTGTAGGCCAGTTCTAGCAACATTTTTTATTTCTTTTATTTTATAAATAAAGTATTATTATTTTATCAGTACATGAGAAATGGTCATATATGATGATGTAATGCTTGTGTAATATAAAAATCTATATTAATGCTTAGTACTTTCCTTGCCAAGCAGAAATAAATTTTTATCTCACTCTGAAACATAATACTATTTTTTTATCTGAGCCCAATAACCATATAAAAGCTCTATATCAACTATCACACTCAGTTGTTTGATCATAGATAAAAACCCTTATAAAAATGCTTTCGAAATTGATTTTGAGATAAACAAGTTTATTAGCAAACTCAAGGATGCTATCAAGAAGAAGAAAATACCTGAGTTCAATAATTTTGCTACAGACAAACTCAATCTATAGAAGGTCAACATTTCCTTCGAAGAAGAAAATAAGAAACTTGAGCTTATCAACACAAAATAAACATTAATATCAAGAAGGAGCTTGGTAGTGTAGAACTGCTTCCACTTTCAAAGATTAGCAAACACTTTTCCTCTCAGCCAACTGATGAGCATATACATATAATCATATAATGTTCTATTAAGACGAAAAAAGTTCACTATACTGCAACATATGATCATAAGAGTGCGAATTTTTAATGGACAGTGATCTTAGAAATAGTATCGTTAGAAGGTTTTAAGAAGCTTTATAATATTTAACATTTTCAGATAAGACAGAAAATGAGCATATCGTAATAGGTTGTATAATAGGTAGCACTGGCTTGAAGAGAAAAAATTTAACAGGTAAAATGCGTAAAAAATTAAACCTAGCAAATTCAAGTTCTCAGAATGTAACAATAGAAAGCGATACAGTAGAGATTGCGACAGAACGTGAAATTATTTAATTTTCTGCTGACGAGGATTTATTGAGTATTATCTGAACTGCTAACCCTAAAGTAGATCTGAAAATTGTTGTGAATACGTGTAAGTATTACTAATATACTTAATATACTTAGGATACTTTATATATTGATCTCATCAAATGTCTAATCTATTAATTTTATGTTTTTATAGTATAATAACCTTTCTATTTGTATACTTTTTCAAAGATGAAAACATTTTTAGCTTAAAGGCTAACAATTATAATGAACTACCTATTTTTGTTAGAAGTATAAAGGAACGCCAGAAAAAATCTAAAATCTGATTATAAATGAATTTTTGAGATTATATAAGACATCCAAATACATCACAAGCACCAATAAAACCACTCATTACAAATTTATTTCTCATGTAATTTATGGTATGATATCAATATATGAAGATGAAATAAAGGTTTATTCTCAATACGAAATCTCTAGAAGTAATTGCAAAGGTCCTATTGATTGGATTATAAAGGTAAGAAATATCATCATCATAATTACTGAGGTAAAAAAGGAGGATATTAATCAAGAAATTACACAGAATGTGATCTAACTGCAGACTTCCATTCAGTATAATCCTAAAAAATGAAGCAGGTAAAAATAGATAAATAAAATTCGAGTATTAGCATAAAAATTTCATGTATCAGAGCAAAGTCCCGAACTTTTATATTTATTTTTTGCATATATTAATAAAAATTTTCTTAGCAATTTTTTGAGATGGCCTATTCCAAAAATTTTTGACTGTTTTCAGAATATTGAACAATTCCTTTCATATTTAAAATTATTATTGATCATGTCAGTTAACAAAGCTAACCAACCTGAGCTTAAAGTATTAAGACAGCACATCATTAAGAATATTAAGATTATAACTGAGAAAGCTGAACTTGAAGTTAAGGATACTGAGCTTAAGGTTAGAATCGAAGAACTAGAAAAAATTATAGGGTTACCATTAAACTCAAGTCTGAAAATGCTGAATTTAAAGCTAGAGTTGCAAAATTAGAGGAGGATTATAGGCAAATGCAAAATGGTAATGTTACTAAGGTAATTAATTCTCCTAACAACAGTTCATCTAACTTCAATTCTATTACAGAACAAAGATCAGAGAACAAACAGGATGAGAAAATAGATACTTTGTTACTAAAAAAACTGATACCAGAAGTTTCACCTCCCAACTCTAAGCCATTGAAGGAAATGAAAATAGATATTTTCTTAGACATGATGCATAAGAAAAAGGTTAGTGATGAGATTAGACAGAAAAATCAGAAAAAGAAACTTCAAGCTTAAGAATCCATTTTAATACATCTTGAAGAGAAAACGTCTTGAGCTCGACTCAGTTATTTAATCATGTAATAATTCAATATCTGAAATCAGTGAAAACGTCAACCTAGGTTCTCCTATTTCTGATCCAGTGATCTATAATCAAAAGAGAGTTATTAGAAATAGCAGATCACATAAAAAAAAAGGAATAGATGAACTTAAGCACGAATTATTTAATTCCCTTCAGAATCAAATAATTCATTCTCTATAAACTATAATAATGTGACTGGAGTTTCTGAGACGATCTGTTCTGGCAAAGTTACCTATAACAGTATTAATGAAGCTTCACAATATCTAATTCAATTATGTGATAAAGCTATTAATACTAAAGATAAAGCAAATCGAGCTAATTAGAAAAAAATTTTATGTTGATGCCTTTACTGAAAGGATTTCAGAAATCAGCTTAATGAGATTATCAGAAACAGTGGTAGTAAATTTGGTGAAAAGAAGACAAGTATACTTTATGATACTATTACAGAATAGCTTTCTATCCTTTGCAAAAAAAAATCATAAGAATTGGGGTTACAACTTCAGGACGTATCACAGAATAGCTTGCGTAAGAAGACTCAAAGAGCTGAAAAAATCTATAAATTTATTGAAAAGTAAGTATGGATAAAATCAAGTATATTAATTCTTATAATATGAATTCTCTTTCAGAGCTTTACTCATGAACAAATTCAAGAGATTATAGACTATAGAATATCTTTGAAAAAGTTATCTCTGAAAACAGATCATGTGACCGAAATTTTTAAGATGACCTGTCCTGGAAAATATCTTGCCCATGTCTGACTAGAAGATAGAAAATTCATCATATACATCTCAAATCGCTTTAAATGATGACAATGTGTATTTTTATTTTGAAGAGAAGGGAAAGAAAGAAATGAATGAAATTAAGAGAGACAATGATGGTGGTCCTAATCATAAGAAGAACTTTAATTCTGATTTTGATAAATCAATAGACTCAAATCACCTAACCTACAATATTCTCTTAGGTGAAAAAATTGCTCAATTAGAGTGAATTTCCAATTCATCAGGTATTTTACTAACCATGCCTCAAACGATTTCAGCTAAGGTAGACAATAATAATGATGTATATTTTATTCTGAAGATGAGGAAGAGAAAGGAACGAATGAAGAGATGCTAAAGATACCAGATAGGGAAGATGGTGATAATGACTGTAGTCATGACAATGATTCTAAAGAGGAGGTGCAAGATGATTCAGATGATGATAGATATAATAGATATAGTGGATATAATGAATATGGTGAATGTGATAAAGGTTATTACTATCGTGACAGAAGATATGAAAGGAGAGGATCCCAATGATAAGTCCCATTATCTCTCTGGTAACTGCCTAAGGGAATTATTAGGCGGATCGCATACTCAGATAGAGTTATCACATAAGTTAATTTCTTTTTTTGTCCTGCATCATGTGAGGGTAGTTTAGCCAAAAAGGTCATTGGTTCATGTGAATTATATCTGATGCACAGTAAAGTAACTTCATCATGTGAGATCAATCACCTGAAATGCGAAGAAAGACATTATCAAAATTCATTTATGCTATTTCCACAGTGTTTTTATTTTTAGATGTGCTATTTTCGTAATAATAGCTAGAATATGCTATTTTTGTAACAATTAAAGTCTTATGAAATGCCATCATATTTTTGCAAATCTATGGGGGATAGGTCAATGAATAATTAATCCGTCAATTTTTTCCAGAAAATTCTGGCATATGTTTTTCATTACGCAGTTTCAAATTATTAATAAAAAAAACCATCCCTGAATCGTATGTTGCACACTCGCCTATCATGATAATTAAAACAGATCTCAGAATAAGAGTATTATCCTATTGGCGTTAGTACATTCAATATAACTAATTTATAATTCCATTTTAGGATGAAGATTTTTTTTTGCGGTTGAAATAGAATAGGGGTGGGGTGACGCATTTTGGAATAGGAGTAATCACTACTATGTTATCGATTAGATCTTCGTGATGCGATCATCCAAAGGTGTATTCCAAAAGCTCTAGACCTATTGTAAATTATATAAAAAAGTGTCCGACCCAGTTAGTGAATCCATTTATCCGCCTTGTGCAAATAAAAAAACGAAAAATTATGCAAAAAATCAAGCGAAACATTCAAACTTACCTTTACATAAAGAAATAATAAAGTATGTTGTTATTATTGTTCGGCTAGCTTCTTGAAATATGACATCACGATGCTAATCGATTTCCCGCCCATATAGATGTTCCAAAATAAAACGAATGTATTACTTTTCTTGCTATATATCGGCATTTTGATCTTTGCCGAGAAAATCCTCGATCATCATCATCATCACATATACAATAGGCGCAGTGAAATTACTCACATGATTCTCGTCACATGCAAAAAGTCTGGCGCAGTATATCAAACAATTTTTCCGGTAATGGAATAATTGATTGTTCTCTTTTAAAAGATTAATAGTTTCTTGTTGACCTTCTCTGAATTTAGTTATTTCAGTAGTTAAAGGTTTTAGATCGAGGCTGAGGAAATTCATAGGCTTAGTATTCTTGATTTTTTAGGCGTTGTTGAGGACTATACTCAATTTGTTTTCTTTCGGTTTCATGAGTTAACTTAACCGTGCTAATTTTATCAATTTTGTTGGTTAGATTAACTAACTTTTGACTAGCATTATTTTCTAAATTAGCTAACCGACTATTTAGTTTAGTTTGATTATCCACAATTATTTGTTGATTACCCAGAACTTTTTGAATTGAAGTATTCAATTGATTAATTGCCCCTTGAATTTCCGCCATGGTTCCCGTCATTTGGGGGACTTTTTGGCCGGTAAATTGTTCTCAACCACAAAAAAAAAAAAAAAAAATCTTATCGAGAAAGAAAATAGGTAAAATATACAAACAAAAAGAATGTGAAATAATAAAAAAAAAAATTATTCTACAAGAAAAAATATATATACACGTCATAAATATATATATGAAGAGGATAATTTTCTTTAAACATCATCGCGTGCCAAATTCTTAAAACTTTGCGCAGTATCATTCCGGCGATAACGCAGAAAAATTAAGCAATCAATTCCTTGTATATGAGGCAGAATGGAATGTTTTGAAAAATTAAGTATATTGGTAAGTTTGCTGAAAATCAATAAATTTCTACTTCGAGCAAAAAATTTTTTGGAAAAATGCTTATAATACTGGCCGAGTCATCTGGGTTACACAATGCAGATCCATATTTCATACAGTATATATACCCATCAACCCACCATAAATCCTAATCAGTCGCGTGAAATGAGTAAAAGTAAAAAAAAGCTCTCTACGTGGTTACGCTCTGGCGTAATTGAGAAAAACTTCAAGCATAGTCTCGAATTAACTTTAGACGCCTTACATGACGCCTGCCCTCTCGATATTTCTCGCAGGTCACTCCGTGACTCGCTCCATGACATCATATATCATGACACGAACTTCCGTCAAATATGTCAAGCCCATAATACGTTGTTCGACTGGTTTGTGAAGCAAAAGTCGTCTTCAACTTCTTCTACCTCCTCTAGACAGTCCAAACGGACTATAGTTTTTAATAAGTCGCGTTTGCAATCATCCACCGTGTATGGACCCTCTGAAACTATCAACCACAACAATATTACAACCACTCGTGCATCTTCTCCGCCAATTAAACAAGCTTTTTCTTTTAATGAGAATGAACAAGGAGCGATCGTCGAACCTTTTATTAACTCCGCAGAGGAAACAGCTTACGAATTTCTTGTCAAAAATGAATCTATAATTCCTTCAGAAATCGTAGAAAAATTCGTGGCTAAACAACGTCCTCCTATCAGCAAAGACTTTAGGAACGCGGATCTTTTGTGCATGTTAAACTTCATAATAGAAAATATTAAAATTTTCTCAAAAAAGTCTTTATTTCATGGTAAATATAAGGCGAACCCCGCTGAATTATTAATGAATTTTAAAAAGAACGTAAGGAACAAGGTTGCCCATGGAATTGTGATTAACAGAAAGGGACGATGGTGCGATCATTCGCTCCAAGATGTCTCTATCTTGGCCTGTGAAGTCATCGTTTGTCTTGGTGAGTTGATCATGAAATTTATTATGAGAACAACAATTCGACTTTAAACTGATTTTTTAATTGACATTAGGCGGAAATTACGAAGAAGCACTTTCTAATAAGGAAAACATTGATAAAGAAATAGTTAGACGATGGGTTAATAAAGCTTTGCAAAAAAGAAAGTTAGATGAAGTACTCGGTGATAAAGAGAATCTTAACGCGCCACAAAAAAGAAGACTTGGCACCCGAATTTTGGAAAAATGACGGAATTCGTACTTAATACACTTGAAGAGTTAGAAGAGACTGAGAAGGGAAGTAAGAAAAAGATATTAGAACTAACATTGAATGAAGATGAGTATATAACAAAGTTCTGGGAATCAGTAAGGACAGAAGAGAGAAAAGAGCAAGTCCGTAGGTTTATTCAATTTACGAATTTGATGTTTGAAGTTGTAAGTATAAAAATTTTGTATTTTTTATTGCATGATAATCTGTATAGAAGTTAATAGCTTTGTCTTTTTTTATTTACAGAACTTAAAGACGAAAAATTACGAATAAAGGTATGTGGATGTGATGATTTATGCAGTTGGTGGCGTGGCATGGGGAATAAGTTCTCGCACAATTTAAGCTATGTCAAAAAGAAAGATAAAATCTTCTCTTAGTTGGTGTGGTAGTGCATCTTAGTCTGAGAGCAATTCTGTTTGCTCAATGGGTAGGTTTAAATCGGTATTTCCTAGAGACGTGATTGTGATCACCGATCGTGATTACAAACATTCTGAAAAAATGTAGTTACTCTATTTTTCAGGGTGTAGTTCCTAGGTTTCTGCCGGACTCTGGTGGCTTAGCAGAGGATAAACGAAGCTCCTTATTTCGTATGTCATCTACAAACTTTATTGTTTTATTAACATTTCTAACCATTTATATCTTCACTTTTCAGAACAAGAAATGATGGTACCATCCCACTTTGAACGTTTGTCTAAACAACAATCTTCTATCTTTGAAAATTATGCGTGATTATTACCTTCAATGTCTATATGATGCATTCTATTGTATAGGTGGATTGAAGAACTTTTGCTAATGAATTTAAATAATTATTCCACTTAAAACATTTTTTATTATCATTTATTTTACTTTGTTTAAAAATTATAGCGTAACATATTTTTAGTATTGGAAATAAACTGATGGTTTAGATGCTACATAGAATCTGATTAGTCAATTATTCCGTGATTTGAGAAACAATTCAGTGCCATGTTAGTGATAAGTATTGTGGAACCTAGGGTGATACCTGTGATATGAATATGTTATGCTAATCCCTGTTAATCACGAGAGATATGCATGTAAATATAAAATTAGCTTAGTTGAGAGATGACCCTATATAAATCTCTGATATGCATGTAATCGAATAAAAATGAATCTGATATTTATTATGATATACTTGCTAAAAATCGCTAAAATGCTATAACAGATAAATCTATAAAATCAGTGAAATTCTTATAAAGTATTAAAAATACTATAATTTGATATCTTATTGCTTAAACACTTAGCCGAAGATGCTGTGCATAAATATGGATTTAGATAGTAGAACCTATTCTAAGCTACTTTGTATAGGCTATAGTGATGTAAACTTCGAAGAATATAGAATATTAGAAGCATTATGTCTTTTAGGTAAACAATATGATCATTAAACACCAGAAATGTGGTGCTTCCATATCTGTAGTCCATTTAAAAAAATGCTTGAGGAGAACTCAAGAATTTTTTCTAAGAATGGATATATTACAATGTATAGAAATTTATATGAACATGATAAAGTACATGATCTTCCATCAAATTACATATATTGTAATGTATATAGCTCCTTAGTTTCATATCTGAAAATGGTTGTAGAGCTGACCCATATCAAGATAACCACTTAAAAAGATATATTTCCAGAAATACTATTTTGAATGAACATGCAAGAAGAAATAAAATTCTCAAATCTATTGATAAAAGGGAATTTCAGATTTGGTAATATAAACAATACATATTACAAAAAGAGGCTAAAATTAATTGTCTTTGTCTAGAGCTTTTTTCCAAATCTATCTCACACTCAGAAAAGGATAAATTAGCATCAATATCATATAATTATGATACTTATTCAGTCAGCTATAAAGCTTACCTTTTGGCTAAAGCAACTATAACAAAAAATACTATGCTAAATATTTTAAATTTTAAGCTAACTTATATTTCTAATGCTAGGCAAAAAACAGTTTCGCTGATTTTTCATCATGTGTTAAACCAGAGATCTAAAATACTAAATAGGCTAACTTCTTCTCCATTACCATAAAAACTTGATGCATTAATACAACGTAGTGTAAGTGCATCTGAAATTTCTAGCAAGACTAGTTTAAATGATCTTGCTGAAGCATATTTTGATTCTGTATAAAAAAATGCAGGAAGAAAATAGACTTAGCCATTAAGATGTTTTACAATTTCTTTCAACTGAATATTAATATTATGTATCTTAATTATATTTAGCTAAACATAACTTATATTTTATTTTTTTTGTGAAATGATAGCTATATAATCTGCATATATAATCACCTAGTAAAATTAGTTGAAGGCGCTATGCATGAAATGTATCACTTGTCAAATTTTCAGATCAGTCCTTAATCCAGATTCTCAAATATTATTTTAATAAAATAATATATTATGGCCAATGCATGTAGACATGTGTGACATAAAATTTTTATCTATCTAGTGAAATGTATCGCCTGCAGGTTTATGCAAAATAAAGATTATAATCTGTCTATTCTAAATTAGCTCCTAAGTAACATAATAGTAATCACACTAAAATAGTAATATATCAATTTGGCCAAAGGTACTATGTATAATTTAGCTATCTATAGTGATTGAATCTAATTTAACTAAATCAATAAATCTGTTTTCACCCTGAAGTTCTGAAGTAAAATAAATTTGAATTTAGCAGTACAGTGCCTGGCAACAAATCACCAGTCATGCGACGCTGATCAATTTTAATGCAAATTTTTAAATTCAAATTACTCGATCATTGCCGCACTAAATTTAATAAAATTTTTTTTATTT